ACCACTTGAGCCACAGTGCTCCTTCTGGTTTTCTGAGTGGTTTATTGGAGATAAGAGTCTCACAGACTTTACTGCCTAGCCTGGCTTTGAACTGTAATCCTTAGATCTCAGCCTCCTGAATAGCCAGGATTACAGGCGTGAGCCACCAGCGCCTGGAACATTCATCTCTTTCTAACCCTTCCTCTTGCTTTCTTCTTCACCCAGTCATCAGCCCACTTGGATGTGGAAAGGCTTCCCGCTTCTCTTGATGATGAGAATTTAGTTGCCTCCTCCTAGCCATACTTGCTAGAAAGAACCTATTGGTATATTAAAGCACAAGTTGCAATTTAAAACTTAGTTTAGTTTGGACCTCGGTGTTCTAAAAATGAGATAAATTCACATAAAAATCCAGACTTCTGTTTCTCTTCAAGCTGAAATGCTTGGGTGTCCGTGATAGACCAGCTTAGTAGCAGGTGCTTTCCTTACTCCTCAACAGGTCTGTAGTTTCACAGTTCCAGAGCTCCCTGATGTTTACATCTGGCACACATCACTCATTTGCATCCCTTTCTGTCTGGCCCCTAGAGGCAATTGATCAACATTTATTTGAGATGAGATTACTGTTCTCCTAATTCTTTGGTCTGTTGCTTCTGGCAAGGGGTAGTCAACATGACTTGGTCCTAGACTACTTAGATTCTGGATACTTAGCAGACATCTGGAATGTGAAGCTAAGGCTTGCCTCTAGAAGTCAGGTACTTTGGGCATATCTCAAAAGACCTGCCTGTCTATGGGAGGTGGCATTTGTATGTTCATTTGTATGTTCATTTATTCATTCTTTCAGTAGTTTCATACTAAGCCTTAATGCTAACATTGGGGGTACAGTGATGAAAGAGACTGACAATGTCTGAGCTCAGGTAATTCAGCCATTGGAAGTCTTTGATATCTGTGACCTCCTGATAGTTTACTTTTCCTTTAGTCTTCCAAGCATACCTGCTCTCTTTTTTCCCTAGTTTTCTTTTGTGATCAGTTTTGTGAAGACCAAGTTGAAAGGATAGAAGGGGTTTGAGGGCCCAAGTTACAGAGGAGACCACCACTCCAACCTGACCTGTATTATGTAGTCACTGTTGGATGTCAGTACATATACTCTTCTGACCTGAAACTTTGGACTGCCTTCATAAGTGGTAACAATAGCAACACTAGCCCTATATACCCAGAGCTAGTGTTTCACAATATAGTACCTCATCTAAAATGTGAGCCAGATGTTATTTCTACTTTACAGATATAAAAACTGAGGCTTAGTAAGTTAAATATAATTTTACCAGAGTCATAAAAAACTGGGATTCAAACTTCG